ATAATAGCTTTGCCTTTCTTATTTTACTGTCTCAAGTTAGCTGGAAATGTTAGTAATTATACATTTGTTTACATCCAATAACTTCAAAGGGTCAGAATGGACAAAAGAAATACCAGATCAATCTAAAGAGTCATTCAGGACCTATCCATGTGCTGCTTATAAATAAAGAATCGAGTTCATCTAAGCCCGTGGTCTTTCCTGTTCCCCCACCTGATGACCTCACACAGCCTTCCTCGCAGTCCCTGACTCCAGTGACTCCACAGAAATCCAGCACAGCAACTCAAAACCTGCCTGAGCAACATGTCTCTGAAAGAAGCCAGACTGTGCAGCAGACATCAGCTACAGATATATCTTCAGGTGGGTTCAGAGCCTTTCTGTTGTAAATTGCAAAGAGAGAAACATAAATACAGACTGGATATCTCTTATTCTGCCACCAGAAATGTCCCAAGCACTTTGGACATTTTGGAATATTTGCATATACATAATAACATATCTTGGGGATAGGACCCAAGTCTAAACACAATATTCATTTGTTTCATACACACCTTATTCACATAGCCTGAAGATAATTTTATACAATAGTTTTAATTTTTGTATGAAATAAAGTGTTGACTGTGGCTTGACTGCAGCCTATCACAAGGTCAGGTGCAGAATTTTCCATTTGTGGCATATATAGGGATGTAAGCTTTTATCTGACGATTACTTGATAAGGCTCTTTCATCGCTTGGTAAGTCTAGGATAAATTAGTGAAACATGTTCCAACTACCTTTAAGAAAAATCAAACGAGTATAGATCACAGTGACTTACACCTCCTGCTTCTCCATATTCTGTTATACTTTCTATTTGGGAAGCTCAGTTTTATAGAAGTGATAAATGGTCCCAACTCCAATTACACTGGAAATCTTGCTTTCCTCAATTGTTTCATCTATGAAACTATAAAAAAGCTAAAGCCCTTCACACTGGATATCAGGAGTAGAGAGCACAACTCTTAATTCAGCAATACCTTACTGATTCCAAATAAAGGGAGCATGGTAGGTAATCTCTGACTACTGAATGAATGAATTGTGCCAATATAAATATCATATTCATATTGCAGATAATTTAGAACTATATTGTGTATAATCCAAATTGTTTATTTTACCTCCGGGATGTGTCTCATTGCTAAAATGGGAGTTCACAAGTTAAAAGGGACACTAATGAGATCTAACTGGACATGGAGTTTTTTAGCTTCTTTTTGCCCACATCTACTCCTTTCCTTCCCCTATAAATATGTCTATACTATAGGCCATTGGGATGCACAATAGAAAACTTAGTCCTAGCTGGGTGCGGTGGCTCACACCTGTAATCCCAGCACTTAGGGAAGCCAAGGCAGGTGGAATACCTGAGGTCAGGGGTTTGAGACCAGCCTGGCCAACATATAGTGAAGTCCCGTCTCTACTAAAAAATTAGCTGGGTATGGTGGTGCATGCCCGTGGTCCCAGCTACTTGGGAAACTGAGGCAGAATTACTTTACCCAGGAGGTGGAGGTTGCAGTGAGCTGAGATAGCGTCACTGTACTCCAGCCTGGGTGACAAAGTAAGACTCTGGTCTCTCAAAAAAAAAAAAAGAAAATTTAGTCCTTAAAAGCTTATAATCTAATTAGAATGTAAAGCAGGCATGCTTTACATCATTCAGCTTAGTCACAATTAATACATTGGCTTCAACAAGTATTTTTAAAAAGTGAGCATTAAGGTTATATGGTTTCATATTTGGAAATCCTAACTAAGGTAAGTAATTTGGGGCTACAGTAGAGCGGGCCTTGAATTTCAAGGTAGTTAAGACATTTATCCAATAAACCAGTGAAGATCTGTGACCAAGGAAACAGCGCAATTAGCTATAATGGTGTGTACAGTAGTAATATAATTAGGAAAGATGCTTATTGCCCTGGGAAACAGAAATCAAAGGCAATGGATATTGTAGATGTTTGTAGTTATGTATTTGAGAGAACATTAGAGCTAAAACAAGGGCCAAGTGTGGTGGGGCTAATACCTGTAATCCCAGCACTTTGGGAAGCTGAAGAAGGTAGACGGTTAGACCCCAGGAATTTGAGACTAACCTGGGCAACACACCTATCATTAAAAAATTAAAAATTAGCTAGGCATTGTGACATGTGCCTGTGGTCCCAGCTACTAGGGAGGCCAAGGTGGGAGGACTGACCTGGGAGGTCAAGGCTGCATTAAGCCACAAAAGCATTACCGCACTCCAGCCTGACTCACAGAGCGAGATCTTGTCTCAATAAAAGAGGCTAAAACAGTGATTACAGTGGGACTGGGAAGAGAAATAATGAACAGATTAGACAAACACTGTTAGGCAAAATAACATTGATATGTAAGATCTAGAGATAAAGTTAACTGGAGGAATGGAAAGTGACACTGTCTTAAGGTTGAGTAACTGGGAGAATTATGAAACTACTGACTGTAAAACTGAGTCAGTTTTGGTAGAACGATGATGAGTCTTTTTTTTTTTTTGATAAGTTCTCACTTTGTCTGCTAGGCTGGAGTGCAATGGTGCGATCTCGGCTTGCTGCAGCCTCAACCTCCTGGACTCAAGTGATCCACCCACCTCAGTCCCCCAAGTAGCTGAGACTATAGGCATGTGCCACCACATCCATTGTTTTGTATTTTTTTGTAAAGATAGGTTTTGCCATATTGCCCAGGCTGGTCTGGAACTCCTGAGTTCAAGCGATCGGTCCGCCTCACTCAGCCTCCCTCCCAAAATGCTAGATTACAAGCATGAGCCACCACACCTGGCGGATAATGAGTTTTTTGGTCTTCGTCTTCAGTTTGGAAGTTTACAAGTAATGCCAGGCACAGAATAGGTGCTCATGAACACAATCTATCCACAAAGAACTCGTAAATATGCATCTCACTCAAGCTGCTGCAGTGACTACTTGTATTTAAATATAAATATCTTTTACTGTTAACAGAAATGTAACACAACCTTATCATATTACTGTTTCCAGCAGGATCTATTACTGGAGATATCATTGATGAGTTAATGTCTTCTGATGGTAAGTAGGTTAAAATTTTACTAACTCATTCATCAGTAATGCTTTTGTGGAATTTATAAACATGATTTAAAAGAAATGAACATATATTTGCCAACTGCTTTACTATGAAGATTCATGAAAATTCTCCCTTAATACTTATAGTAAGTAATAGGCATCCTTTAGAATTTATTTTTATTTGCTTGCATTTTGAGGAAAAGGAATCCATATGGGGATGCTTCTCAACTTCATTGAAAATAAACTGTTGGTACTGTAGCCCTTTCCACTCCTGAAGGATCTGGTCCAAGAAGAGTAAAATAACTTGTCTAAATCAGTAGATGATCTGAATACCTGCTTTTGTAAATAACCCTACCCTGGCCAATTTCAAGCTGCCAATATGAAGTCACAGAATTAGTATTAACATTAACCACATTGTCTTCTAACCTGAAAAATTCTGAAATATCAGTTAGCTACAATATGCTAATTACTTTAATAATTTCTCTCCTTCTGTAAGTTCTTGGATCAGAGTCCTGGTTCCTAACAAACATAGTAGAAACCTACCAAGTGTAGCAGATAAGTTAGCAAATGTTATAGTATCTAAAGGTATAGTAAACATATATGTAGAAGCAGAGAACATCAGCACACTTTGTAAGCCCAGTTCATTATTCTGTTTGCAAAGTGGCAAACAAAACACTTTCATTAGTGTTTTTTGTTTTTTTGAGGCGAAGTCTTCCTCTGTCACCCAGGCTGCAGTGCAGTGGCATGATCTCAGCTCACTGCAACCTCCACCTCCTGGGTTTAAGTAATTCTCCTGCCTCAGCCTCCCAAGTAGCTGAGATTACAGGCGCCCACCACCTCACCTGACTACTTTTTGTATTTTTAGTAGAGATGGAGTATCACCAGTTGGCCAGGCTGGTCTCGAACTCCTGGCCTCAAGTGATCCGCCTGCCTCGGCCTCCCAAAGTGTTGGGATTACAGGTGTGAGCCACTGCACCTAGCCTCATTAATGCTTTTTAGTCACATTATCTTAGTGACAAGTTCAACCAATGAAAAATTTGACTTCTATTTCTCAATCTAATATCAATAATCAATGTATCAATTGTTACTAAATGAGAATCTTTCAAAATACACATTACACAAGTCTTTAATTTGGAATGATGTATGTGATAGTATTCTGTTAAAGATCATTAACCATATATAGAAACCATCTTTAACACTGAATTTTTTTGTTTGCAGTGTTTCCTCTCTTAAGGCTTTCTCCTACCCCAGCAGATGACTACAACTTTAATTTAGATGATAATGAAGGAGTTTGTGATCTGTTTGATGTCCAGATACTAAATTATTAGATTCCATGGAAACTTGGGACTGTTATCTACCTCTAACTGTGTAACATTTTAGATTTCTTAATAACCTAAGTATTTAAAATAATGAATGTAACACCTTTTTAGTTCACTGATTCTGAAGTGTTCTTCCCTAATACTTTACTTCACAAAACTTAAAAAAACAAAGGGCTCTGATTGCTTTAGGGGATAAGTGATTTAATATCCGCAAACCTCCCCACTCCCAAAAGTAACTATGTTCTGGATTTCAACTTTTCTTCTAATTGTGAATCCTTCTGTTTTTTCTTCTTACAAGAGGAAAGTTAAAGGACACTACAGGTCATCAAAAACAAGTTGGCCAAGGGCTCATTACTTGTTTGTCTTATATTTTTACTGCCACGAAACTGCCTGTATTTCTGTATGTCCTTCTATCCAAACAGACATTCACTGCCACTTGTAAAGTGAAGGATGTAAACAAGGATATGTAACTGTTTCAGTGAACAGATTTTGTGAAGTGCCTTCTGTTTTAGCACTTTAAGTTTATCACGTTTTGTTGACTTCTGACATTCCACTTTCCTAGGTTACAGGAAAGATCTGTTTATGTAGTTTGTTTTTAAAATGTGCCAATGCCTGTACATTAACAAGATTTTTAAAAATAAAATTGTATAAAACATTTAATTTATTGGTCTTTGTGGGGAATCACTACTGTTTTACAACTGAGCCATTAATTTTGTAGCTTCATCAACATTAACTGGTTTGCTTTCATGACGCTGCTGAGGAATCTGAAAGGAGAAAGACTGTATTTAAAAATGCAGACAACAAGCAAAATGACTTACATAATCTGTTAGCCAATTTTTCTAGTCATACCTTTGGAAGTAGAACAATTAATCTGTATATTCAAACAATGTTTTAGAGACTGGATATGCTATTTACATTATAGAGCCAAGTATATTAGAGAGCCAAGTACTACTAAAAATTACACTCAACTTACAAGCTTTGAAAATTTATTAGATTTCAATTTGCTAGCCATAAAAAAAAGCAAATGATTTCTGCTTACCAGTTCTTTCTGCAGAGGTTCAAGTGAAAGGCCTTTTGAGAAATGTGCAAGTTCCTTTTGTACATCTACAAAAGCTTTATTTACTCTGTTAATTTTTTCTTCATTCATAATGTTTATCTTTTAAAAAAGAAAAAAATTAATCGATCTCAAAACATTAAAGATAAGATACATTCAACCTTAACCCTGTTAAATCTAAAATCTAAAAACTCTTACCAAGAAATTAGAGATAATTCACTCTAAAATCCTAATAGACTTATTGGGAAATTTTAGACAAAAGGTTTTGTTTTTTAAAAAATGGGATTTATGTGGATATGCCTTGCACTTCCTGGTACAGAAGGCCAAAATATGTGACTGTGATATTGTGATTCATATTAAGGGGTGGGTGGGTGGGGGTGTGTGTGTGTGTGTGGGTGTGTGTGTCTTCATCCTCATTTTCTGTCAAACAGCTTTTTAAATCATTCTATCAAGAGGGATAAGAGTGTCTTTTGAATGCTAATGAGAATGTCTGGTAGCTGGGAGTCTCTAGAAAGCTTCAGGATGATGGCTGATCAGATAAAAAACACAGGGTTGGAGGATTAGGAATTTCTGCTCCAGGGAGAGGAGTGGGGATAAAAGTTAAGCCCAACACTAATGGCCAATGATGTAATGAATTATGCCTACATAATGAAGACTCCATAAATCTACAAAAGGGTTCAAAGAGCTTCTGGATAGCTGAACACATGGAGGTTCCTAGAGAGTGGAATGTGCAGAGAACAGGGAAGCTCCATGCTCCTTTCCATGTACCTTGCCCTCTGCAACTCTTCCATCTGGATATGCATCTGCCTCCTTTGTAATATACTTTATAATAAAATAAACTGGTAAAAGTATTTTCCTGGGTTCTGTGAGCTGCTCTAGCAAACTGATTGAACCCAAGGAGGGGATCACAGGAACCCTTATTTATAGGTGGTTGGTGAGACGAAGAGGTAAAACATCTGGGGCTTGCGATTGTCACTGGAAGTCGGGGAAAGGCTTAGGACTCAACTCTCAACCTGTGGAATCTGATGCTATCTCCAGGTCTGCAGTGTCAGATTTGAAATAAAACACCCAGCTGCTGCCTGCTGAAAATTCATCTGCAGAATTGTTAGGTGTGGGTGAAACTCCCCACAAATCTGGTATCAGAAGTGTTGAGTGACTGTAGGAGAGTGAGAGTAACAGAAACTGAGTTTGTTTTTTCCTGTATCCTTACAGTGGCCAAAATCTTTCTAGGCTATAGTGATGTCATCCCTCATCTATACAAGAAATCTGGATCAAATACTTTTAGTGCCTTCTAACATAAGTACATCTCTGAATACTTCCATGACCTTCTCGTCATAATGGAAGTCCCCTGACAACAGCTTCCCTTTCAGTCCTCCTCTTTTGAGTGTTAACAGGTAGGGGTGGTGCTCCTGTTCTTCACTGCTGCTGCCAAACAATTTCTCCTTCAAAACCCTTACCTTGGCCGGGTGCGGTGGCTCACGCCTGTAATCCCAGCACCTTGGGAAGCCAAGGTGGCTGGATTGCCTGAATTCAGGAGTTTGAGACCAGTCTAGCCAACATGGTGAAACCCTGTCTCTACTAAAAATACAAAAATATTAGCGGGCATGGTGGTGTGCACCTGTAATCCCAATTACTTGGGAGGCTGAGGCAGGGGAATTGCTTAAACCAGGGAGGTGGAGGTTGCAGTGAGCTGAGTTTGCGCCACTGCACTCCAGCCTGGGTGACAGAGTGAGACTCCGTCTCAAAAAACAAACAAAAAATCCTTACCTCCTTTTTATGCTGCCTACCCACAGATCTCTCTCTTGTACCTCCTGTCCAAATAAAATAATATTCCTCAAACACCCCAAGCTTTTCCCTAGATCAGGGCCTCTGCACTTGCTATTTTCTCTGCCTTGAATATACTACTCCCAATACTTCCTCGCTCTTTGCATTGCTAGCTCTTTACCATTCTAGTCTTGGTTTCCATGTCAACTATGAAGACCATCCTATGTAAAATGTCATCCCCAAAACTCCCATCACCTGATTTCATCCTTAGCATTTATAAAATAATCAAACTGTTCAAATAAAAGCTTAATTCAGCTAGCTCATGAAAGTTGAAAGATAAAATGTGAGATTTCTATAGTCTATTATAATTAAACTGAGTTCTGGAGAGCTGATTCCACCTACTACTGAAACTTGAAAACATTTTCTTAAAGATTTTTCTTAAAAGAATCTGGTTAATCTTGATGAAGAAATTTCTCAAGTATTTTGAAATATAAACAAAGAAAAAAAAGAAAACTTCAAATTGTGCATTTCAATAAATATTTTAAATCTTCATTTTACAGGTTTTTATCTGAACTGCACATGTCTTCAGAGAGATAAGAATTACTGAGGAGAAAAAGAATAGGTGCTCACTGACATCCCATGTCTAGCCTCTATTAATATATTCTTATATTTGACTTCAAAGATAAGAACTGTTTCCCATACTATGGTTTTTAAATGAGTTCTATGCCAGTAAAACTATTAAATTGAAGCTTCACACATTTGTAGTTAAACTGTTTTTTTCTTTTCAACATTTGTTTTCAAGAAAGGGGATTATTTTTTTGTTTTGTTTTAGACAAATGCTTGAAACCAACCTTACCTTTCTAGGAAAAACTAAGAACCTTTTTAAAAAGTAATAGCATACAGTTGTTCAGTAGCTTACAATGACACTTTACTTGTAAACAATGCAGTCAGAGTGCTTAACTAATACTTACCTTCTTAAGATTAGTGGTAACTGGTTTTGCTTTGTTTTTAGCCTTAAAGTTTTTTTGGCTGGCTATGTGAAATACATTCCTGGACTTCGGCCCTCTTAATTTGTTTTTGGCCATTGTCTAGAAAAGAAAAGAAGTACAATCAAATTGCCCACATTTATGGACCGTAAGTCAATTTTAAGTTTTTAAAGGTACCAATTAAATCTAAGAAATTCCATCTTACTATTGATTATTTGTAAAGTTGATGCTTATGTTATTTCTATGTTTTTCGCTCCTACAAGATTTTCTGCTCTTTGAGTACAGAGTATGTATCTAATTCTTCTCCGTATCCCCAGTACCTGGCCCCTAGGAGGCATCCAATTAATATCCGCTGGTTGAATTCATTAATATCATCAACACAATAACTGTTATTCTCAGCAGTACCTCACCACCCAACCCTCTACATACTACTATGCTATTCTGGTTCCTATCATTCTTTAGAGACTGATCTGTCTCCTTCTTGACTTCTCTTGTATTCCTTTTTATTCTTCCCACTTTCTCTCCTGTGCATCCCATCAAAATCAGTCCTTAATCCTTCAGTTCCTACCTTCCTCTCTCCCTCTTAAATTATTTTTATGACTTCCATATTAGCTCTATGTGAATGGCTCTTGCCTTGAAATGCTGGATATTGTCTTTGCTATGTAGCTAGAGATGCATTAAGCCAGTAAATTCTACCTTAAAACCTCTCTCAAATCTGCCTTTAAAAATGTATATGAGGAATAATTTTTAAAATATTAACACATATTGAGCTTTTATTATATGTACAAGCACTACACTAATGTGCTTTTAACTCATTTACTCCTTATAACAACCCTTTGTAAGAAGTACTATTATCCCCATCTTAGAGATTCAAATTAAAAAACTGATGCAAAGAGAACTTAATTTGCCCAGTGTCACACTGTCAATAGCCAGGAGATGCCAGGACTAACAGCCAGGCAGACTAGATCAGAGATAATGTTATATGGCATTGTACCTCATGTATAATTATAAAAGCTATACAAAAACATGGTATAGTATTGCTTAGCTGAGGAATGGGTTAGGGCTGAAGTCCCTAAGTCCATTTGTTCAGACCACTGTTTGTCAAACTATGCCCTTGGACCAAATCAGGCCAAGCACCTGTCCTTGTAAGTAAAGTTTAACTGGAGGCCAAGCACGGGTGCAGTGGCTCACACCTATAATCCCGGTGAGGAAGGAGACCCAGGCATCTGGGATTACCTCCCCACTCTGTCTTCTGTACTGCATTTCAATAGAAGAAAAGGCTGGCCCGCCGGCACCTCCTGACTTCACCCTCCTGTAAACATGCTTGGTACTCCGAAAGACACTGTTTTTACTTAAAACAAGATCAAACCCCCACCCCACTCCTCCATCCAGAGACCAAACATTTTCACATGCAATTCCTAAAACTGTAAACCCGAAACCCTTTCATACGTGATTCCTAAAACTGTAAACTCGAAACCTTTTCACTGTAAACCAGAAATCTTTTCACATGTAATTCCTAAAACTGTAAACCCGAAACTCTTTCATATATGATTTCTAAGGTTGTAAGCCTAAGGTTCTTCCACGTGTAATATCTAGAGTATAAGCCTTATATAAAGGCAGAGCCTCCCTTTGTTAGAGGAGCTGAGTTTGGACAAATTATCACTTGTGGCTCCCGGCCATAATAATTAACTCCTTCCATTACCATTTGGTGTTTGAGGGCTCTGTTTCTTGCAGCTGCTCCTGCAACACCAGCACTTTGGGAGGTGGATTGCTTCAGCTCAGGGGTTTGAGACCAGCCTCGCTATCATGGCAAAACCTTGTCTCTACTAAAAATACAAAAATTAGCTGGGCGTGGTGGCACACACCTGTGATCCCAGTTACTTAGGAGGCTGAGGCAGGAGAATTGCTTGAACCTGGAGGGCAGAGGTTACAGTGAGCCAAGATCGCACTACTGAATTCTAGCCTGAGTGATAGAGTGAGTCTGTGTCAATTAATTAAATTAATTAAAAAATAAATAAAGTTTAATTGGAATACAGTTATGTCCATTCAATCATGTGCTGCTATGGCTGCTTTCCTGCTACAACTGTGACCCACGATGTCCTAAATATTTACTGCCTGGCCTTTTACAGAAAGTCTGCCAACCCCTGGCTTAAGCCATCTGCACAGTGGCTAACTGGCACCAAGATATCTATGCCATTGACCTTCCCAAAGTTAAAAACATTCAACAGCTCTCCCGCATAAGGGGCAACATTCCTTGGCCTGGCATATTACTGGCACGCTGAATCTACCCTAAATCTGCCAAACATATCTCTTGCTATGCCTCTATAAACACTGCTCTAGCCAGCCTGGTCTAACTATTCTCTTGCACAAACACCTTGAATATTCTTCCTTTTTTTCCTTTGCTCAGTCATAGACTTGACTTCATACCCTTGGCTACATTGTGAACAGTTAAGGAACTACTTAAAAGAAACAGCAATGCTTTTGAACCTCAACAGTATTCCTCCTACTTAAAGAATGCAGAAAATACGTGATTATTAAAGAAGACACAAAAAACAAAATACACATAATAAAACTCCTCAAATTAAGTAATCCAAAATCATTCCAGGCCGGGCGCAGTGGCTCATGCCTGTTAATCTCAGCACTTTGGGAGGCCGAGGCGGGTGGATCACTTGAGGTCAGGAGTTCGAGACTAGCCTGGTCAACATGAAACCCCATCTCCACTAAAAAAATTAAAATTACATGGGAGTGGTGACACGCGCCTGTAATCCCAGCTACTCGGGAGGCTGAGGCACGAGGAGGCAGAGGCTGCGGTGAGCTGAGATCGCGCCACTGCACTCCAGCCTGGGCGACAGAGTGAGGCTCAGTCTCAAAAATAAATAAATAAACATTAAAATAAAATCATTGCGATAGTAACCAAAATCCAATCACTCATCTAGTATATATTAATCAATTGCTACATGCTAGGTGTGGTAGAGAACTTATATTTAATACATAAAAAATATATATGGAGCATACAAAATGACAAGATATATACGGAACATACGCAGACAAGATCAGTATTATACTGAACATGACACTACTATACACACGGACCATGCGCAGACAGCATACAGTGGAGTTTACTAGAGCTGGAGACCTAAGCAAGTTTCGTGGATAAAGTAACACGCTAGCAGGGGTGTGGGAGGGGAGGGAAATTCTCTGACAACCACGTGGAAACTGATCATGAAGGACACAGCCCACAACTGGGACTCCGTCAAAAGATGAAGGCCCAACAGGCACCCGGGTTTCGGGCCTGCTACCCTGTAGGGCTACCTGAGGCAGAGCGCGACCAAACCGACACAAGGTCTGCCCAAGCTAACCCCGACCCCTACAAACTTCCCGCCAGCCTTCCAGGAAACTTATTAAACTCTCACTAGGAATTCAATACTTGCGTGCAGCTTCTTAAGCTCCAGGTGACGCCATCTGGCACGTACGGCGTCCAGGAAGTTCGAGGGAGAATGAACCAGTCAGGATTCCGCTCACGAGCCGTAGCCCCGCCCACAAAGCGTAGTTCCGGTCCACCGAGCGGCGTTTCTGCTCCCCGCCCTCCCAGGAGTCCCGCCCACAAACCGGGTTCCCACCCACCTGGCATGGTGCCGCCCACAGAGCCAACTCTACAGAGCAAGGTGAGGTAAAAGAGCGAAGCCTCGCCCATAGAGCCCGGTCGGAAGTTCAGTCTCATTAGCATTCCCTGTCTTCCGCGATGTTGCAGGTCTGTCCTGAGCTGAAGCGAGCTTGGGGCCTTATAGACCCAGCCAAGTGTCGCCTTCCCGGCACGGGTACTTCTGCAGAAACTTCCCGAGGTGCTTCTGAGACTGCACAGTGAAGACAGTCGCACTGGAGGTCAGCTCTCCGTCCCGTACTACCGGCTGTCTCTGCCACGCTCCCAGGCGGGGGTGCTGTGCACCTCTGGGTGGTTTCCAGGGCTCAGCTGGCGGTAGAGGGAACCTTGAGGTTGGAAAAGGTGTAAAGGTATAATCTCCGAAAGGAAGATTTGTAATGAGCTGTGAGATAGAAATGCTTTTCTCATTGCAGCTTCCTTATTTCAAAAAGAGAATGTTTGACAGCATTGCAAAGGCACAGGAAACCAGGCACAGTATAAAATATACAAATAAAACAGGTACCAAGGAGCTTAAAACATTCAACCCATAACGTCGTCTAGGTTTTTATGTTTTAAGAAACATTCAACCCATAACGTCGTCTAGGTTTTTCTGTTTTAAGAAAATTAACTCAGTTCTTCCAAGAGAATAATCCTATAAAAGCTAAGTTTTCACGTGTCTCTTTTTGTTGAGGTCATAAGAAAAGCTGGATTGCAAACAAATGTAGATGGTAAGAATTAAAGATGAGAGAAACACGAAGGATGACTCTTCAGTCAACAAGGACAGGTTTATTTTAAATAAACCTGAGAGGGGCGGCTGGCCGACTTAGGTCAGAGCCACACCCTTCCAGACTAAGAGTTTTTAAGGATTCAGGGTGGGAGAGTTTATCAGAGGCTTGGACTGCTTCTGTGCCTCTTCCTTGTGCTTATCTGGGAGGGAGAGTTGCGTGTCTGTTCCCATACATCTTTCTGCAGTTGCAAGCATATTCCCTGAGTCTGCTTTTAGCTTCTCTATCTTAGTGTACCTGAAGGGAAAGGAATGTGCCCACGGTTTTACTGGGGCCCATTGTGTGAGGGTGAAGTTTGGCAGTTACCTAAGAGACTTTCCCCCCTGCTTCCTACTGTGCCTGAGCTGTCTTATCTGTTTTACTGTCTGCTTGTAGTTAGAAGTGATTTACTTGAAATGCATGAGGCTAGAAAGGGAGCTGAAACTTAAAGCCGCGGTGTTTGAGATGACAGTGCTCCTGCTCTGTCAGTAGAACTGACATTTATATGCGATTTTGCAGCTTACACAAGATTTCAGTCTACACTATGCTCTAGGTACCAAAATAAGGTGATAAAACCACTCCTCTTTTGCAAGTGATGATACTACTAAGATTCAGAACGAGTTTAAGTGATTTGCCGGCAGCCACACAACAAACTAGTTATTGACAAAGCCAGACATTTTTGTAAAGCTAAGCATTTTTTAAAACAATTTTTGAAAAGTTTTTGTAAACTTAGCAATTCACATGTCCACATTGGTTAGCACTTAGTCAAGTCCTCTTTCCAACAAACCAGCCACTTACCTACTTACAGAAAGATAAGCAATTTTTGCAATAAATCATTTTATTATGTTTATGCCCATCACACACACAAAAAATTAAGGAACACAATAGACTAAGGGGAAAGGAATATAAATTGCTTGCCAATGTATACTTATGCAAACTTTTGTGTTCTTTCTAAAGATCCACCTGTTAAAAACACCTTAAAATGCTGGTATAGAATGCCCATAAAGTGTTACAGAGTTATTCACAAATACTGAGGCAAATAAGTCAGGTATAATTATTTGATTCTTTGAATGTGAGGTTATTGATGTATATACAGAAGCCAAAGAAATAGATGTAATAGAATGGCATTACAGTGTTTATGAAAACTGGTAGGTCTCACTTTTATTTTGAAGTGGTGAAATAACATGGTTATTAAGGCAAAAGCAGAGGTCTGAGTGAGGAGGCCCTGGTTTTTGGTTTGCCTCTCCCACCAGCCAACAATGTGACCTTGGAAAAATTACTTCATTTCTCTGTGCCTCCTTTTCCCATATGCATGTAGATGGTCATTATATCCACTTGAGAGAACATTGATTATCTGCTCAGCATTCCTTTCTGTATAGCCACTCTTCTCCCATCAAGTGGTCCTCCTCAAGGATTTTCCAGCTAAAGGGAGTGGAAAATGCTGTCTCTTGCATTTGGTATCTTTGTGCTGGGATGATATAAAATCAAGGTTCCTGGTCGCCATCTCCTCCAGCAACTTGGAGGAAGCCTTCCTACAATGAGAGCAACACACACAAGAAAACAGAACTGAACAGAGAAGAAAACTCTTATGTGATCATTTGAGTCCTTGGATGCAGCCATAGATGGAAGAAAGATCCATCCCTGTACTTCCTGAGCTAAAATACTGCTTTATTTGAGCTTAAACTACTTTGGGTTGTTTCTATTTTATTTTTTTATTAGTGACTTTTACCTGAAAGGGTCTTGACTCCTGTCCTACCTACTTAATAGGATTATTGTGCAGAGTTAGTGAAATATAAAACATGAAAGCATAAGGTATTATTAAAACAAAAGAAAGGATCCTGTTAATTTCTAAGAACCATGTTTACCCATGTACCAAATGAACCATACATAAAGAAAATAGCTTAAATATTTTTCATCTTAAAAATATATGCAAAAATTAAATTTCCAGTTTTTCTAACAATCTTAAAGATGAATAAAATCGTAAATAGGAAAAAAATCTTTCGGAAACCTTAGTTTTCCTGGGATAGACTCAGCAGTGCAGAGTTCTTTATACAAACCTGAACCTCAAACAATTGTCTTGGAAGCGATTCAACAAGTAAAGATAATTAAGGAGAAGAAGAAAATGAGAGCACACATAAATTACAAACCACCTATAACAAAACTCATAGTCCTCTAAGAGAACAGAGCCAGCCTTGTATAGATGGTACTCCATAATAAATTTCTTTCATCTATTCAACCTCCGTTGCTACAAGATTTCATTCAATTAAAAGAGTTTGGACACCTAGGCTCTGTGGAAGCTCAAAGGAAGTACATAACACATTTCTATCTTTCAGAGACGGCACAATTGTCTGGATTGTAAATGCACAGGGAACAATGATTCTTGACAGAAAGTGGTAAGAACAATGATAAATGCACAAAATATGCTATTTATGGGCAGAGATAATTCTAAATTCTGGAAACATTCATGTTAAAAGCTCTCATTTCATTGTCTCAGAGCAGAAATAGCAGACTTCAGCCCAAAGGCTAGATCCAGCCCACTACTTATTTTGTATAGCCCATGAGCTAAGAAAATGAACTTATATCTTAAGATGGGGAGAAACTCAACATAAGAATGATACATAGCAACACATACATATTCTATTAAATTCATGTTTCAGTGTCCACAAAGTGTCACTGCAGCACAGCCATGCTCATTTGTTTACATCTTATCTGGCTGCTGTCATGGTATAATGGTAGTGCCGAGTACTTGGGAAAGAAACTGCATAGCCCGCAAAGCCTAAAACATTTACTACCTGAGCCTTTACCAATTTAATTTTTTTTAACAGAGTCTTACTCTGTCACCTAGGCTGGAGTGCAATGGTGCAAACACTGCTCACTGCAGCCTCTACCCCCTGGGCTCATATGATCCTCCCACAACCGCCCAAGTAGCTGGAACTACAGGTGCACACCACCATGCTTGGCTAATTTTTGTATTTTTTGTAGACATGGTTTTGCCATGTTGCCCAGGCTGGCCTTGAATTCCTACGCTCCTGCGATCCACTCCTTGGTATCCCAGATTCTGGGGTTACAGGCATAAGCCACTGCACCCAGCCACCAATTTAAAACTTTAAACCTTTGCCAACCCCTATATTAGAGTTGAGCAGCGTGGTGGTATTATTCAGAATATTGCTGTTTTATACTCAAATACATAGGCAGTTAAAAGAATTTTCAT